TTCAGAATTACAATTAATCAAAAACATAAAAAAAAAATCTGAACAGAATACTAAATGGAAAACTGTAGGCTTCAACGGTATTAAAAATGCCATATCATTCCTGGATGACATCATTACAGTCATTTTCTTAAGTCAGTTTCTTGGCACTATCACATTTTTTATTAATTAATTAATTTCATTTTCATTGCAGTGAGGTTCTCATCTTGAGCTGACAGATTACGTGCTCCTTCCCTTCACTGTTTTCTTCTTTTTTATAGAATGTTTGATAGCCAAACTTTTTTTCCCCGAGTCACAGTGCCTGTCTCAGGGGGAAACAACATTCAGAACCCCCATTATTTCAGCCACAGACTTTTTGTTTTCAACAATCCTCAGTCTGGTGGAAACATTTGTGGGAATTCGTGTCTTTTGACTTCCTCTTTGCACAAAAATGTTTCACTTTCTTCATTTGGACTTTCTCTTGCTTCCTTGCTTCAGTGAAGCGTACAGGGTTTTCTCTTTCATTCTTTCTTTCTTTCATTCTGTGCTTTCATTGCCACTAATTTCCCCACTTAACCTAGAGGTAAATGCATTTTCTTATATAGATAATGTCGTGTGCAGATAGTATGCGTGTATACAGATTGTACCAATCTGTTAGTTCAGAATGATTCTGTTTTGCTAACATGACTACAGTGATGAGGGCAAAAAAGGGCAGTGCACATGCTCGATTAATCTGATAGTAATTTTACGCACTTGTTTTTCGTGTACGGTAAGAAGACTTCCAAACACACCTAAGTAATTGAGGGCCAGTGTGTCACAGTCTCAAAGAACAAATTGTGCTTCCAGCCTCATCTGTAATATACCTCGGCTGACTTCAAATACCCACATTGGACTAAATCGGGCTAATCCCAGCTCAAAGGGATGCCTAAAGTTCACAAAGTGTGGGCCCTTCTTAACAAAGAAGCAGGTTAATTAAGACTCACACTGACTCACTCTACTACAGGTGGGCATGGAGCTGAACAAGTAAGCCAGAGCTGGACAAAATTCATCCTCATTGAATGAATAGAACATTTTATCAGCATGCGTTGATGCATAAAAAATACAGTGACGCAGTAATGATTGTTGTGTAACAGATGATTTTCAGTCCTTCCTGACTTTCATTTTGCTTTTTGTTCATATGTAAGATTCTCATTAAATGAAGTGTGAAAAAAGGTGCCAGCTCTTGGACCCAACAGAGCTAATTATCAGGTCTAATGGCTAACGTGAGTCACTGGTTTCTCTAGCAACCATCATGCAATATCACACATTCAAAGGTGATGAGGGGGTAAACTACAAAAGGTGCAACCTTTAGCAGCCTGGATTTAGAAATGTGCAGCTTACAATGTTGTGTTTTCAAAATACAACTATGTACCAACATTTGCTTTGCTATGTTACTTTCGTGACTACTACTATTCATTTGCTTATTTGTCCAAATGGATGACACTGGGTAAAACACACTTATTAAAATATTCATATTCTGTTAATAAAATAAAAATTCCCTTTAAATCTTAAGAATCAAGGAACCACTATTTGTATGGATGGTAACTTCACATGCAGTAATTAGTACAATATATTGTTGCCCAAGAATAAAATTGTGGATATATCTAAAAATGGCTTAACTTGCCAAGACCTGAGGAAAATTCCTAGTGTCCCTACTTTAATTACAACAATACCCAAACAGGTGCAAGCAGAAACTGTAAGAACCTCTATGCATATTCAGTACAGTGAGGCTATAACACCCCCACTATTTGAAGTCTCCCACATGTTTGTTTGAATCTAGTATAGAACCATTTGGGCTGACTATGATGCTACATTAGTGCTCAGTAATTTTCCTTGATCTAAAACTTTCTAATTAGCATTTGATGAGTGTTATTCTAAAGGGTGTTGACACAGACCACAGAGGAATGAAGCTGGGCTTCTTTAGTGCCTATCATCCTTTTCCACCTCTGATGCAATGGCTCTCAGAAGCTTTGGAGCTAGTTGGCAGCAAAAGCACTGTCCATGTTACTGAATGTTATTGCTTGTAGACACATGGAATGCAAAATTAGAAGTGTGATTAGTGGCGTTGAGTGTCTGTTGCTGTTTCTTTTTTGCAAAACATTACATCCTGGAAACAGCATTTTAGGAATATTTGCAGAAGTGGGTTAATCTAAAACAATTACAGGGCTGAACATTCTCCACAGAGTCTTGGGAAAAGATCAAATGTTTCTGAACTGATAGCAGTACAGCTCTGGTGTAGGAAACTAAACAAATATTATTTTGCACATATAGCTGGCACATGCTTAGGTAATATGATGATCTAATTAGCACATCTGAAAATCTGTTCGGGTTCTTGAGTAATATAGTACTTTAATATTCTACTATTCAGCCATGGGCTGTTCATTAATCTAGCATATTAATGTAGAGATGCTTCTGATAAGTTCAAATAGAGAAGATGAAAAGTAATCATTTTGTAATGACCAGCTCCACAAATAAGTTCAAAATGAAGAGTTAAGTAGGTGCAGCAAACAAGACAATATTTTACCTGCAAATAAATACTAATGCATGTATGACAGTCTTTAATTACACTCCATCTAATTTTACATTATCAGTCTATTTGCACCTGCAATCTAAACCTGGGAAAATATTTTCATCTTTTAAATATATCTCTGCAATCAACGTCTAATACCACTAACACACTCACAACACATCACACACTTTTATATCGTTTTTTTGATCAATTTGTTTAATATCCGCTCAGATGCCACCTGACAATAGATTTGTGTTCAGAAGGAAACTGTCTCTAATTAAAGCCTAAAGCATGAAGATACTGCTTGAAACAAAAAAATATCATTAACGCTTGTAATGTTTCATATGCTCATAATCCCTGAACATGCACGCTGGAAATTTGAGACTTTGAGATTTGACAAAAAAAAAAAAATAGACATCTGACCATATTGGGGAAACAAAAAAACAAAACTAGTTGTTGAGTGCAGCACAGTTAATTAAAACAATGGCACCACTCTAGATCTGTCACATCACTTGGCAGTTGCTTTAATTATATATTTTGGTCAATCTGTTCTTCCTGATGTGAGAGGGGATGCCATACACAAGACAACATCTGCTGAGGTATGTCACATGAGCTTCAACATCTGTCCATGTTTTTAAACAGCCTGTCACTCACTTGAGTCATGTTGCATATGTATTTATGCGATCATATTGAGAAAGCGCACACACAATACTGTTAAATGCTGAGAGCTTACATCTGTGCCAGACACAATTAACACTCTTAGATTAAGGAGCAAATCTACATACAAACAGAGAGATTGGCACTACACACAAACACCCAGACACACCCTGTGGCTTGCAGTCATTTTGGTCCCTTATGTTGTCCATCAAGAAGACAGTGGTGACTGTTCTCTAAACTGACTCCACCCACAACGGCTTGTGATCACCTAAGCTGTCAACTAACATCTGCTAAAACTACCAACAAGCCAACTGTGAGACTGGCTCTGAAGATATCTCCACAGAAAATGTGTCACCTACACATGTTCAGAACTCAGCGGCATGTTTTCCCCTTCTATTTTTGCTAATTTTTATGTGGCAAACGTTATCTGCAAAGCCTTGGAGAATGTCAAACTGTTTTGTACGGCTGAAATGTAGGAAGTGTCTTGAAAGCTCATGTTAACTCGTCCTGGTTGGAAATAAATTGTTTACATCAATGTCAAATATTTTCAGTACTAAATAATAGCCATCCTTTGAATGCCACAGTAGCGACATGAATAAAGTATTGTTAGATCTAGTTGGTGTGTGTTTCACAAATATATCACTTTTCACTCAGTGTGGTTCAGAGGAATCAGTCATGTTAGGTTGCTAATCATACCCTGAGTTTTTGAATTTGTGGTTGTTTGTGATGGAATGCCCCTGCGCAAAGCTGTCTTTGGTGCTGGGTATTCTTTGAAGTTGTCTTATCAGCATCTTACCTCTCACTGACACTAGCTGTTTTTTTTCTGTGTTGAATGTGAGTTCAGCACATATTTAACTAAAAAAGTAAATAAATAAAAACCACAGATCCATTTCAGTGGCTCAAGCGTGGCTGTGTAACTGGTGGGATCAAGACATCTGGACATTTTTCTGTATAATAAGGGATGTTCTACTATATAAGGATAATGATAATCTGCCTTATCCCCTCCTGCACACAAATTTATATTTGTGTAGTCCAAGACACACATTTACACAGTTGCAGATGACACAGAAACCCAGAGACACACTAGCTTTCTAGCCTTACTCTCTAAAATCTTTCTGTTCGTAATCCCTTCTGACTCTATTAATATTTCTGTTTCCATGGTGATTCAAGCCCAAATGTTGTACAGATAAGAGGAGATAAGAGCATAAGGAGCAGGGAGATAAGAGCAAATGACCTGCCGAGATCACTACAGAGTACTAGAGGTCAAGCAGAAGAGCAGAAGTAAGTGAGAACAGACCATCCCTGCTCAACTCTTCTGCCAACCTGACAAAATCTTATTTTTTAGCAGTGCCACAATTGAGCAAATACTTGCAGCAACTTTCTTTCTGTCTATGCAATTTTACATATATACATGCCTTACCCAGAGAAGCAAAGCAGACAGTTACTAGTAAGAGAAAGAATGGATAATATAATTTTGGAAATGATTTGGTCTGTTCTTCGTATATCATCACACACAATTTACAGTTATGCACTGAGTAAAAAAGCCAGTAACAAATTTGTACTAAATTTTTAACTATCGTTTTACATTTTTACAATCCAGATAGATGGCACAATGACAAAAATGGCATTCAGATAATTCAAATTTGGGACTGTTATTGTCAAAGTAAATCATATCAAATTACTAGAACTGCCAAAGTAGTCATGAATGAGAGTTGTTGAATCTGTGATTTTCAGGACTGTAGATAATAAGACTAAAATATTGCAAGTCTTATAATGAAATCACTGCTTTTCAACATTCTCACAAAATCCACCAAACCAATCACCCATTCCTCAGACAGACCTTACTATGCGCTTGAGATAACTGTACCTGTTTGTTGTTATACTTCGGTTGGCCCGTCTTGTAGCTGTAATCTGAGTACTGGTCTGAGCCAGTGGAATTGTCGTCTCCTCCTGTTCCTACGAAGGTGTTGGTGGCAGGGAGGTCCTGGACCACCTGATGCTTCTGTGAGGCAGATGGCGATTGGGCTTGCAGCTGGATGGAGGGTAAAGGGGAGTTGGAACGGTAGTGTCTGCCTATATCAGGGCTTCCTGGTGAATATGTTAAAGGCAGATGTATCCTGGGGCTATCATTGACTCCATCAAGATTGAACTTCAGACTTTTTTGAAGGCTGACCTCTTCGTCTTCCCCGAGTGGTTTTGGAGACTTCTGAGGTTTGCCTTTCCGTCCACGTTTGCCTTTGGTGTTTTTTGGGGCCTGTTTGGGTGCATATAAGTCCTTGGTTTCCTTTTTGCCAGCTTGATATCCACTCTTGGTTTCTCTTTGGATGCGGTGGCGAATAAATACCACCACCAAGATCAACATTACAACACCTGCTACACCAGCAAGGCTTCCAAACAATATATTACTACGCTGAGCAGCAAAACCATTGTCGGGATCACCAGCAATGTCCCTGTCCAGTGGAGTGTAAAGACTGTGTCCCACTAAGGCTTCCACTAAGCTGACATTTGAAATGGTTTCATTGACATAGATGTGGACCAGGGCAGTAGCGTGGCGTGCAGGCTTCCCCTTGTCACTTACTCGCACCACTAGGCGATGTAATCCACCATGTTTGCGTGTCATCTCCTTTGCTAGAGTGATCTCTCCACTTGAGGGGGAAATGCGAAATAACTGGTAAGGGTTTCCACCAGCGATACTGAACACCAGCTCTGCATTAGGGCCATTGTCCAGGTCCTCAGCTTCCACTACTTCAACGTGGCTATCTGGGGAGGCTAGAGGTGATAAGCGTCTGAAGGAAGAGTTGGAGGGCTTAGTTATCACGGGATCATTGTCATTTTCATCCAGTACATTGATTGTAACACCCACATATGAAGACCTGGGTGGCTCTCCTCCATCCACTGCTTTTAGACGGAAATTATAGCTGCTTTCTTTCTCCCTGTCAAACGAGATGCTTGAGAGAATAGTTCCTGTTCCATTTTGAACAACAAACTTTCCTTCATCAGGCTCTACAGAGAGGTGAACGTGGGCATTCTCGCCTTTGTCCATATCTAGGACTGTCACCATACCAACTGGACTCAGAGGTGGCATGTTTTCCAAGACTGAAAAACTGTAGCCACTAAGCATGAATTTGGGATCATTATCATTGCGGTCTATTACTTTTATTACAACAGTTGCTGTTCCTTTATGGACAGGAGACCCTTTATCTGCTGCAGTGACACGAAACTCATATTGTTCTTTGTGTTCACGATCAAGAGAGCTTTTGGCTCTTACTTCGCCTGTATTTGGGTCAATCTCAAACAAGCCTTTGATGGATGAATCTGGCAAAATATTATAGAGAAGTTCGGCATTAGTGCCGCTGTCAGCATCTGTGGCTATAACATCTAAAATTTTTTCCCCTGGTTGGTTTTCTTCAGCAAAATCAACCTCAAACAAGGTAGGGGAAAATATTGGAGAGTTATCGTTCACATCAGTCACTTGAACCTTCAAAGAGTTTGTACTAGAGAGTGCTGGGTTTCCAGAATCTACAGCCACAATCTCTACTCGGTAATCTCTAACTCTTTCATAGTCGAGAGGTGTGGTGGTCTGTAGGAAATACTTCCTCTTGTTGTCACTGGTTGAGTCACTGGCAGGGCGAAGCTGAAATGGCACATCACCTGCTACCACACAAGTGACCACAGCGTTTTCTCCCTCATCTTTGTCAGATACTTGAACTAAAGCAACAGCTGTTCCCACTGGCATGTCTTCGGAAATATTTGCCACTCCTTCACTGTGCGTCACAAGGCCAATCCCACGAATCTCCACAGCTGGAGCATTGTCATTTTGGTCAGTCACTTCAATGGTTACAAATGTCTTAGAGCTTTTAGGCTGAGGGCCTTTATCCCTTGCTATCACATAGAAGGACAAGCTGCTGATTTCCTCCCTGTCCAGTGGTCCTTTGACATAGATGATGCCAGTGGACCGATCAATTCGTAAGAGTTTCGGCACTGGGTCTACTGCCTGGTGAAGGGTGTACTCAATTTCTCCATTCGGGCCCATGTCAGAGTCGTTTGCTTTAACCTGTAATCAAAACATATTCAATGGTTAAAGTCATTAAATATGCGCAACAGTTAGTGTTGTAACTAATGTTATTTACAACACTAACAATGAATGTAACTAATGAATCATTGGTCACTGAATAAATTAATCCAGGAATCTGTGTGGGTCTGATCACTTTAAATCACAGCATGTAGATAACTTTGTTTTGGCTATTGCTTTTCCTCTGTTTTTTGATAGTTACATCACTAGCCTTCTTTTCTCTTTTTTCTAGGATTCAATGAAAGGTTGTAAATTATTAGGCCTGACATTTCCTTCATGATAATCAGTGTAAATCCGCAGCAACATGCTGTGAAAATCCTGCACAGAGCAATTTATACTCCGAAAATAATATCTCACACTGTTCTGCAACTACATTGTCAATACAAGATATAAGCATTTATTACCTGTAGAAGGATAATGAGCTAATGCTCTCTTCAAAAATATATTGAAAAAGGTAAAATCCAAAATTTAAAACTATACATTTATTCAGAAAGACATTGCTGGTTACAATTTAACTTTGCAATCCAGACTACAACATTATACAAAAAAAGTTTTTAAATTACCTGCAACACAGAGTGTCCGACAGGGCTATTTTCCGAAACCTCTGCCTCATAGGTGGACTTTTCAAACTTGGGAGCGTTATCATTGGCATCAGTCACCACCACTCTGAGTAATGCACTGCTGTAGCGCTGAGGGTTTCCTCCGTCCACTGCCTTTATGGTGAGGTCATAAGAATCCTTTAACTCACGATCTAGGTTGCCCAGGACAATGAGCTGTGGGAGCTTCCCTCCCCTGTCATCAGCCACTTGCAAACCAAACAGGGTTGCAGCATCTGGCCCTGCAGTCAGCGCATAGTCAGCTACCCCATTCCTGTCAGAGTCCCTGTCTGTAGCTAGAGGTATGGAGAATAACGCTCCCATGATCGTGTTCTCGGGGACTGAGATGGTAAGCACAGAAGAAGGAAATTGGGGGGTGTTGTCATTGATGTCCTGTACTTCAATGCGTCCTTCAATAAGCCGTGGGCTCTGGTTTTGTATCAGATCAGTCACTGATACTTCAAATTCCAGGTAGCAGGGTTTACCCTTAGCCAGGGAGCGACAGTCCCTCAGGGTTTCTCTGTCTATAGGAATCTCTGTGGTGTAAATGTCCCCTGTCTTTCCATCGACACGAAGATAAGGGGCACCCACCTCTAGCTTGTAAAGGTGACCTGAGTCTGGCAGTCCCTGGTCTGCTGCCAGGCTACCTATAAGAGTATTTGGAGGTTGCTCCTCCTGGACCCGGTACAGGATACTGCCTTCAGCAGAGCCACAATGCAGCACCACGACCCAACACAATATCACTTGTAAATTCAGTTCCATTAGGTCATCAGACGATCTGCCTGTAAAATGAAAAAAACACAATATGGGTTAAAAAGCTGGTTCCCTTTCTGCTGAAACCTAGCTCCATAAAGCAATATTTACATAGCTGTTACTTTTTATTTAATTATTCAAAAATGAAAAAAAAAAAAAACTAACAGAGGGTCAAAGTGAAACATTAGACAGGGGAAGCAAGCAGCACTGTGTTTTTGAATAATGACTCTACAGCTATAAAATTAATCGTTTTTTTTTCAATAACTTGCAGTAAAACATACAGCATACCTAGAAGAACAACACAATAATTAGACAACAACAATAACAAAGAGAAAATAGGGCATTTAAAAAAATGCAATCATAGCTATCCCAGCATGGCTTCTTTTCAGTCTCAGAGCTTCAAGAGTTTCAATGAATATCTCAGCTTTATGAAATTCATGGAAAAATGAATGTAGGAACAAGAAATTATATCTTGTGAGCTTACATCCAAAACAAACTTCAGGGCCAGTGTGGATTGTTTCAGCTGAATAATCAAATAAAAATGTAATACAAAAACTCACAGCCTAAGAGACTCATTATTTCTGTATTACACAGCTAGACATTGAGTAGGGAAGCAATGTAGCTCTAAAATAACCTATGGTTTGAAATCCACGCTCAAGAATACACCCTTACGAGCGAAGATTTTGTCTGCTGAGAGAAATGATATATTTGACCAATTTGTTTACCCAAGAGGCGTCTGACAATGAACACTTGCATACTAAAGGTCATAGAGTCAAATTTCTTTCTCATGCCAATTATGCAACTTTGCTACTATCATCACATCCAGCTTCCACCTGGCATTGCACAATGCAGACATTTCCACACTCCATTGCCACTGGCTACCTCAAACACTGTAATTATTGTGTTTGATTTTGAACCTTTCAACTCTACAATTGTGACCCATTATTTTAGTGTCTTCTTTGATCTTTACTCCCTCTAGCAAAAGACTTCTGTTTTTTTCATGCTGCAATGATTTTAGAGTATAATTATTTCCCCCCTCTCTCTTTCTTTCTTTCTGTGTGTGTGTGTGTGTGTATATGCATGTGTGTGTGTTTGAGTCCTATTGGTAATTGAAATAGGAGCAATCATTGGGGTTAAGTATCAAGGTCTCATGCTCTGGAAAACTTCATCGTGAAAACAGTTTAAAAAAATTGTGTGTCTGCTGAATCAGTGAGTGTCCACTTACTAATCAAGTAGAGTTCATTTCAGTGCATCCGATTTTATTGTGCTATGTTTGTGTTACTAATGCAAAACTTCAATATGCTGATCAATACCAGCTTTAATGACTCGGGTTATAATTAGACAACAGCAGTCCATGTCGCAGTCACTGTCTCTTCAATGCTGCACTGTTTTACAGCATTTCTTTATTTTCACAGGCTTTTAAAGAAAGTTACAGCGAAAACAAAATGCTACTTCTAGTTTAAAAAGTTATGTAGAAGTAAATCATTATGTTAATCCAAACACAGGTGAATAGTTCCAATTATTTCCACAATAGTTTTTCAACTGAAACAGAAAAGAACACAGGTGCTCAGTCTAGTGTGGGTCTATGTCGTCAGTTAGGGATTAGGAAAAGAACAAGAGGAATCAATGCTTCCCTAGTCAGTGTGGGTGAGAGCTGATAGAAATATACATACACGACAGCAAATGGAGTTATTTAAAATGCAACTGCATGCCGCAATGTTCCATACAGGAGTAAGGTAAATGAGTATTAAGCTAGACAGCAAAACGCAAATATACAGAAATTCAATGAAAAATCCAATTCCTTTTGAATACATTAAAATTGAAAGTGCTAGTTATTGATGCACTAATTGCTCAAAAATCAATGTCTCCCTTTTTACATTTGTGAGGAGAACCTGTAGTCAATGTGGCATGAACAGTGATTGCGCTTTCTCCAGTTCATGTTTGCAGTATAAAAAGGCAGGAAGAAGCAAAAACGCAATCAGCAGATACACTTTTCTTATACCCAAGACTGACATTAACAGCATCCCATGGGATATAATTTTAAGGGGAATTATAAATCGCACTGTAAATGTTTCATACTGCTGCCTACCATTCCATTAAACACATGCTTTCAACAAGATATGTGAACTTATGAGGTGTGCATGTATGTATTGCTTCAATTAAATTGGTATTTGGAGAATTCAGTAAAAATTACTTTAGCTTACTTGATATGTGCATCATCTTTTTTTTTTTCATTTCTATTTTAAAATTCACTGTTAAATTTCAAAGTTTTCAAATGTATTTATACAATGTGGCATCTAAAAATGGCATACCGTAGCTGATTTTATAATGGTTTGGTTGTAACTGCTCCCCTGATATTATAGCCACTTCTGCAATGAATAGCCATGCTTTGATAGTGACATGATTGTTATGGTTGATGACACTCATGACTTAATGTTTTCCAGTTGGCCTCATGCCTGTCTTCCAGATGGCACCATGCCTGACAGTCTAGTGAATTAGTGTCCTTTTTTTTCTTTGTTTACATTTACATTAAAATTCATGTTGTTCGTAAAATATGCGTTTTGCTATCACTCAGCGAGAATCTCTGCTGAATATCATTGACACCACGCCTTTGGGTTTTATCTCACATTCCTCAGCTTTCCCACAAATATTTTATCAAAAGCTTGACAGTGCCAGATTTCCTTTTCTCATCTCAAAGTGCTCTGAGGTGGTGGCAAAGGGAAACAGGAGATTTTTCCCTACTGGAGGATGTGAAACTTCTTGGACTACTGGATGTCTCACTGAAATTTACTACCTGAGCAGCAAAATTGATAAATTAGAAGTGCTGAACACAACTAGGAGTGACATTCCCTGCATCTCAGCTCTTTTTCTCCAAAAAACTTAGTTATCATCTGTCATCCCAGATGGTAGACCCACAAGACTACAAGCTGATTCAGGCAGATCGCGATACATAATTCAGCAGAAAATCAAAGGGAGGAACAAGAGGTTAGTTCTCTCAGAGTGATAAAATGTTTTTGTCATAGTTGAGTCCTGTTGAACTGCTCAAAAGATCAAATACTTTTCTTAGTCATTTCCAAAATTAAGATTTTAGCTTCCTTAATGAATGAAATCAGCTATAAAAATGCCAGCTCTGGAAGAAAAATACTGAACTGGATCAGACATTGCAAGACTGCAATATTGAGAAAGTGCTAGGCTGAGAAAATGAAATCTTTTTGGTTATTAAAATTCACCCTGTCAACAACCAAGTATTGTGGCAGCACTGCTGTAATAAACTAAAAAAGAATCACTGAATATAAACTTTTTTTCATTTGTCGTCTGAACAACCAATTATAACTCTAAAATATGTTTTGCTAGCTGCTCCACGGGACAACTTTGACATTGCTTGCTTGGGTAACTCTAGTACAACTTGTGTAAGTCCAGGAGGCAGAACTGTAGAGACTGTGTATTGCCTAGGTGACTCTAATTCCCTTGAGCACTGTTTGTTGGAAAATACACCATGTTCAAATAGACAATCCAATTAGCATACTGAGCCAGAGACCTTATGAAGGTGATCCAGAGCAACACATATTCTTAGGGAAAAAAACAAAATCCTTCCAAATACAATCAAGGCATCCACTGTTTGACTGAGGAGGGAACTTTAAGTCTACCAGTGAAGCAGCACTCACCACAAAACCTCATGCTGTGATCACGCAATGGTCCAGATGGTTGCTATGTTGAAAAAACTGAAAAATGAATGCTGAAGGCAGCCTGTACCACAGTATGGAGGTGGACTTTCAAAGAGAGCCTCAAACTGCCCGATGGGTCTAGTGTCTGTTGTTTGTTTTGTGTAGATGTTTAACTTTGCAACAGAAAACGCAGTCGAGGCAAAACTGCTTAGCAGTAGAGTTTAAGAGCCCAAGGTTTATCTGGATTGACCTGCCACACAGCAAGAACTCTGCCTGGCCAAACCTTAGCTTATTAAGACCATCAGGAGTGCCAACTGTAAGTACAAGTCCAAACAATTGAGTCAATGTTTTATGACTTATGTTCAGTTTGGCCATTATTACACAGACTCACAATTTGGTGGAGAAGCTCACCCAAGCATACTTTTTCACCTGTCAACGATCTCTATAGATAAGAGTGTCTCTAAGAGGGGAAGAAAAGTGGTTCTCACTCATGCCCACTTTCACACCTGGGAGGTTGTTGTCACTTATGTTCAAGTTTTACTGAAATGTAGTGTAGAGGTGTAGAGGTTGCTATTTGACTACACAACTCCTTGACCTGAAGGCAAAAAAACAAACCTTGAAAAAAGTGTCTGGTAAAGTACTGTGGTACTTTTTGCTGCATTATTTTTATAAAGAAAAAGAAACAAATAGAACTATTAAATGTGAAATTGTGTTATGTGTTAAATTTAGTTTGTCTTTTCTACAACCATAGACCTTTGTAATAATTAAAAGAAATGACCATTGCTTATTTGCCAGAAAAAACATGCAAAAGGTGCCGTGGGAAAATATGCTGTTTTGATTTGAATTTCAGCAATATATTCAGAACAATACTGTTGTCTCCTAACAATATATCTTCCATCATTATCCTTCTGATGTCTGCGTATCATAGATTGAAGAAGTAATAATCATTGATGCGCTTCACCATGTTCTAAAATAAATGAATAGATAAAAATGCAGGACTCCTCCACTCCACCGCTGCAATTTTTTGTTCTTCATTGAGGAGAAGGTGAAAAACTTCACAGGCAGCTAAAACATCAGTCAAACTACGAGGTCTGATTGAGCCTCACACTGAGCCCTCACACAGTGCACAACCCAGTTGACCCATCTGTTCAAGAGAACTTTTCAACTTCTGCGTGTCTACAATCAAAGTGCCAGCCTAGGTTGTGTCAGGTTGTGCTGCGGTTCCCAAGGAAACAAGTCCCTGCCTCGCTAAGGCTGTGGTTGCTGAACCCAGTCATAAAAATGACCTCTGAAAAATTGGTACCATCCAAGCCTATATGACAGATCCAGTCCTGAATCAACTGGAGAGAAGTGCAGAGATATCTTTACCACTGTTTACTGCTATAAAAGATGGTGCTACAATTTTCATTCTGAGGACACACACAATATACATATATATATATATATATATATATACATATATATATATATATATATATATATATATATATATATATATATATATATATATATATATATATATATATATACACAAACACAGAGAAAGAGAGACAAATGAGAGACAGAGATAGAATTAGCACTACTTTATTTACTGTAAGTAACTCTGATAAATATAGGGAAGGAAATACAAGTAGGAGGGTGAAGTTTGATTAAACAGAAATAATTGGTAAGATAAATGCTAATAAAAAAGTTAATGCAGTACTTCAGCTAACAATAACATTGTATAAAATATGGAGTGATTATGTTGTTTTTCATTTTTGTAATTGAAAAATAAATAACACATCTTTTACGTGCCAGTATGTAACAATTTATTGCAAAGCAAAAGTAATTTGCATTGTTTGTGAAAGATTTAGAACAATGTTTGGCTTAAAATGAAATTATTTTAAAAAATGATAAAGGAGTTTGTGCCTGATTATGTAAGTGTTGGTATTATACATTAAAAAAAAAAGGTAGTTATAAAAATGAAGAACAATATAATTGTGCTGCGGAGCATGTGCGCCTGCTCTGGTTGCCATGGAGACAGACTATCTTCTGACTGAGTCAACTCAGAGACTGACTGGGTGACATTTGCTCTTTAAGTTGGCCGCTCCACAGGTCCAGCAGAAATGACTCACATGCAGAATTAACTGAGGCATAATAGTAAATTACTCATAAGAAAAAAGGTTAGAGTTGTGCCGGGAAGAAAAAAAATCATCAGAGGAATTAAATAGGATATTTTGTAGTAGCTGCTTGTTTTGCAGCAACTGATAAAAGCAGGACCTGAATTTTCACCTGTTACATGCTGGGACTCAGGTTCATGAATTTGTGCTGTACAACGCTGTTCTGTGCTCCTTCCTGCTTTGCCAGAGTGTGGAAAGATAACAGATGATTTAATGATTTTCTCAACTGATGTGATTTGATGTATTGGCTGACTCTGCGCCTTTAGCTAGTATAACAGGTAAAATCCATTACCCTCCCACCGGCATGATTTATGATAGGTAGTATCACAGCTATGGGTCTCTCCTTACACTGCTGATCTACCAATGGAATTTACTGCCAAATGTAAGGCTGCACTCTTATACTGACTGCAAACTGTGGGTTTCGGTAATGAGAAAGCAACAGCCTTTGGTTGGAAACACTTTCTAAAGGCGTGAGCACTGGAATTATCCATATGCATGCTGAAACACAGAACACTCTTGTGTCACTCCTGTCACAAAGAAGTAAAATAAAAAAAAAAGAAATACACTGAGATCAAAAAGGCCACATTCCAATATTAAAAGGTTCTTTATATAAAGATATAAAGAAACTGGCAGATCGTATAATTTGGATTCCTCACTGCTCTGTGTAACATGATTAAAACAGAGTTTAATTTCCTTATAGGGGTTATTGTACTGCTTTTGTGCAGTAAAGGTTCACTCCCTCAAGCTCAAATACCTGCTGGAGAAGTCAGAAAAAAATCCTTTTGTGCCCTTTCCACAATTTGATCCGTTTACCACACACTTACCCTTCCTTCAGCAACCCCATTACATGGCACATTGCATGTTATTGTACAATATTCAGAGGAAAGTTCCCTACTGGTAATAATTCAAAAATAAAATCGGCAGAGGAAATTAGCCTTACAGTCTATTCTTATGTGGGATGGATGGATAGATAGATAGATAGATAGATAGATAGATAGATAGATAGATAGATAGATAGATAGATAGATAGATAGATAGATAGATAGATAGATAGAAGTTTCATTCACTGAATGATTTAGATAATAACATTTAACAGGTTCATGTCTTACAGACAGTTTCTCAGATCTGGGCTACAAGTAGGTTATAGGCCTGTTTGATCTGCTCTGTTATGACGGCCTTGTAGCCTAAAGTATGTGTGGGAACTTAGACCGACATCATTACGTAGAGCAGACTATTAAAATGTGCCTGGTGGTCGGTGGAGTGGCGAGAAACAACACCCCAGACTCTCACTGGAGAGCACAGGAGATTACCCGTGCCGACGATCTGATCAAAGATTTCACCCCCCAATTATAATCACGAATTTCTCCATAGAAAAACTGTATAACAGTTATGAACACGACAGGCTGCAGGAGAAGTCCGAATTGTTTGCAAGAAATTGTTCAGAGTAAACAACGCCAAATCAAGATGCACGAATAAAGGCAATTAGTATGATGTTTGCAGCTAGTATGGGATAAATGGCGAAAGAAGGATGATACAAATGGTTCACATTTTCTGCTTCACAGAATCATAATGGTGCAATAAAATGCAATTAGCCGATCGCCGGTACAGATCAGCTTGAAAAGCGCACGCACTCATATTGTCGCTGAAGTGCAATGACATGCAGAGTTAATGACTTAATACCAACCCCGACGCAGGCTGGAACTCGTGTCTACTCGCATAGGTTTTAATTAAAATGCATCGTCTAATTTATCATGCAGAGGATCCTTATTGCGGGTGGCACATCTAGCCTTTGTACCGCCTATCAACCTGTAACACCGAACAGCCAGCTGTTTTGTGCTCTGTGTGTGTCTATTATAAAGTGCAACTTGTTGTATAAACGATCTGTTTGAGCCACGGCCTGTGTTAAGCGACAACACTTCAGACAAGTCCGAAATGCATTCCTATAAACTTCATTGGCATTGCATCATGAATCACGCACAGTGGCCACCGGTCAAATCAACTTTCTTGATTATTTCTGCAGTAATTTCAGTACCTGAGCCAGAGACTTTTCACGTGAGCGCTTGTCGCGTAGCCAATTCTTCCCGCGGCTGATATGTCCAGCGGTGCTCCCAGAGGCAGGTGTCTAACCCTCAAACCTCCGTCACAGTGCTGAGATCAAAAATCACTTCAGCGGCCACAAAATCCATAGACAGTACTCAGAACTTTCCGCATGAAAATTCAGAATCCTTCGTTCACCGCCGTCCCACAGTGTGAAGAACAGAGACAATTTTCAGTCCGTGAGAATATGCGGCTGTAACTTATGAGCAATTATATTGTATAGACTGTTTTATGACAGAGATGGGAAACCAAGAATCTCATTCCATAAAGATGCCCTACTGTGTGCCATTTTCAATCCTCAGTAACTGATCCTTGGAAAGATTTGCACTCGCTGTCGCATCCCTTTGGTCCAAGTTTCTCCAGCCCTGATCTAAGTAGCTTAGAGCGCACTCTAAGGACGCACTGGATGTCTAAAACACAGCAAAAGAAATGTCATTTTCGCAACGTGCAAAAAGAAACCGCTAACCGGTCCTAAACAAGAAGCCCATCTGAAGCATTTCCAGACAGCAAGTGGTGAGATACAGTGGGTACGTTAGTTGCTCCCCTAGCTCCCTCTCTCTTTTCTCTCTCTACTCATCAGAGCGTGGGAGGAGGTGGGGCTCCCATCCACCGCAGCACACAGCAACTTCATACTCTACATTATGCCAAGGCTGCCTACCAGGAAATTATGTGATGCCTACAGTTTAAGAGGATCTTATTAAAGTGGGTCAGCTCAAACAGGGGGATGCACCTTATTAAATAAGCTTATCAAGAAATCACTCCGCTTGCCTTGCACTATTTTAATTCGTGTCAGTCTTTCCTTTCCCCTCAAAACTGCTCACTAATC